AACTTGAGCATGAAGAGATGTGAGAAAATTTCTGAATATATCTCCAGAGTGATTCTGATCACTAACAAGATGAAGGCGTGTGGAGAAACTTTGTCTGAACAAGTAATCATAGAGAATATTATGAGGTCGCTTACTCCTCAGTTTGATTACATTGTTGTTTCTATTGAACATTCTAAAGATCTGGAAACCATGAGAATAGAAGAATTGCAAAGCAGTTTAGAAGCACATGAGTTACGTATGTCTGGGAGAACTTCTGAAAGGGAAGCTGAGCAAACTCTGAAGGCTTCTTTTGTCAAGAAAGACCAGAAGCAGAATAAACATGGTGATAGATTCCAGAAGTCATAAACCTCAACTTCTGATGATAAGAGATATCATAAAGGAAAGGAGAGGTATGACAAAAGGAAGGTTCAATGTTACTCTTGTAAACAATTTGGCCATTTTGCCAGAGATTATAGGTCAAACAAGGAAAGGAAATCAGAAGAAGCATATATGGCTAAGAGAAACTCTGATGATGAACCTGTGCTACTAATGGCTTCTAGTTCTGATTAAAAATGCTCAGAAGATTGGTGGTATATGGACACTGGTTGTTCAAATCACTTAACTGGAAACAAACAATGGCTAACAGACTTTGACTCCAGAAGGAGAACAAAGATCAGATGTGCTGACAATAAGTATCTTAATGTAGAAGGTATGGGAGATGTCAAAGTTAGAATGAAGAATGGGAAAGACATTCTGATCAAATACGTTTGGTATGTTCCGGGTATTAGAAGCAATCTGATGAGTGTGGGTTAGCTGATTGAGAAAGGTTTCTTAGTTGTTATGAAAAACAATCTCTTGACGTTGTATGATTCCAGTCAAAAGTTGATTATGAAGTCTGAACAAGGAAGCAACAAAACATTCAAGGTGAATGTAGAAATAGCTGAAGCAACGTGTCTTAGTGCAGAAGGCACTGGAGGTGACAGTAAGTCGTGGCATAAGAGATTGGGGCATTTGAACTATAGAAGCCTAGGGCATCTATGTTCTTAGAAGCTTGTACATGGTATTTCGAAGATTGTGAAGCCTAAGAAGTCATGTAAGATATGCATGAAAGGCAAGAAACCCAGATTGTCATTTGCATCAGAAGTAGCCCCCAGAGTGAAGAATGCTCTGGGAGTAGTACATTTTGATGTGTGTGGACCATTTCCAGTACCTTCACTTGGAGGAAACAAATATTTTGTGTCTTTTATGGATGAGTTCACAAGAATGACATGGGTAACACTCATCAAGTTTAAGCATGGAGTTTTTACTGAGTTTCAGAAGTTCAAGGTGAAGGCTGAGAAGTAGAGTGGTCAGAAGTTGAAGATTCTGAGAATGGGTGGTGGAGGTGAGTATAACTCTACAAATTTCCAGAAGTTCTGTAAGGAGAGTGGAATAGAACATGAGGTTACTGCTCCATATACTCCTCAGCACAATGGTCTTGCTGAAAGAAGAAACAAAACTTTGCTTGATATGACCAGAAGCACGCTGAAAGAGAAAAAGCTACCTCACGTGCTATGAGGAGAAGTTGTTGCCACATCAGCATATATTCTGAACAGGTGTCGAACGAAGAAGCTGAAGGAAGTTGTTCCTTTAGAAAAATAGACTGGAGATAAGCAGAGTGTTAGTCATCTGAAGGTGTTTGGCTTTTTCTGTTACAAACACGTTCCAGAAGCTAGAAGATAAAAACTGGATGATATAAGCAAAGTAATGTTGCTGGTGGGGTACCATAGTACATGTGCGTATAAGCTTTATTGTCCATAAACTAATAAAGTTGAAGTCAGCAGAGACGTTGTAGTGAAAGAGTCTGAAACATGGGATTGGAACAAGTCTCAATCAGATTCTGGTGTAGTGCTAACACCAGAGTTAGCCTCTGAAGATGTTTTAGAAAGTTCAGAAGATGAATCTGTTTCTGAAGATTCTGAAGATGAGTCGGAAGAAGATTCTAATAATGGATCTGATTCTGATCTAGATGCTGATGATGATTCAGAATCTGGTGGTGATCATAGTTCTGGAAGGGAAAACTCTGAAGGTGGTAACTCTGAAGGTAGTAGTTCTGGTGCAGCTTCAGAAGAAGCTCAAAGACCACAGAGAATCAGATAAAAACCAAGAAGGTTTGCAGATTTTGACATGTTATAGGATAATGAAGTTGACTCTGAAGGAGAAGTCGTTCAATGTGTCATGTTAGTAGATTCTGAACCAGTGAGCATTGAAGAAGCTCTCAAGAAGAAAGAATGGTTGAATGCCATGAAAGAAGAACTTGAGGCAATAGAAAGGAACAAAACATGGAAATTGACTAAACTTTCAGATAAGAAAAAAACCATCAGCGTCAGATGGGTTTTTAAGTTGAAACTCAAGCCAGATGGTTCAATTGGCAAGCACAAATCTAGACTAGTAGCTAGAGGTTTTCTTTAGAAACCTCAGCTAGATTACTTTGAGGTGTTTGCGTCTGTAGCTAGGCATGAAACAATCAGACTGGTGATTGCTTTAGCTGCAAATAGAAACTGGCCTTTAATGCATCTGGATGTGAAGTCTGCATTTCTGAACGGTAGAATTTTACGTGTTATAACCTCCTGGATTTGTGAAAAAGAATCGAGAAGGGATGCTATACAAGTTGAATAAAGCTATGTATGGAGTGAAGCAAGCACCCGGAGCTTGGAATCTGAAAATTGATTCGTTTTTCAAAAGGCAGAAGTTTCAGAAATGTGAGATGGAATATGGCGTTTATGTGCAACACTCTGATAACAATATAATTCTTGTGTGTCTCTATGTTGATGACATTTTGCTAACAGGTAGTTGCCTAGAAGATATAAAGAAGTTCAAAGAAGTTCTGATGAATGAGTTCGAGATGACAGATCTAGGAAAAATGACATATTTCCTAGGGATGGATATTCTGTACTCGAAGAAAGGTATCATTCTACATCAGTTGAAGTACAAACTAGAACTTCGGAAGAGATTTAAGCGGAAGAATTGCAAAGTTGCTGTGACACCATCAGAAACCAATCAAAAATTGGATTCTGACTCTGATGGTGACTCTGTTGATACTACAACCTTCAAACAGTTGGTTGGTTCTCTAAGGTATTTATGCAATACTAGACCTGACATTTGTTATGCAGTTGGATTGGTTAGCAGATTCATGAATAATTCAAAGTGGTCTCATTTCCAAGCTGCTGTCAGAATTCTGAGATATATCAAGGGAACCCTGAAATGTGGAGTGGTGTTTCCTTCTGAAAGAAAGAAAACCAGAATTAGTAAGTTATTCTGATTCTGACTGGTGTGAAGACAGAGTGGATAGGAGAAGTACTTCTAGATACTTGTTTAAATTTCAGGGAGGTCCTATTTCTTGGAGTTCCAAGAAATAGCCTGTCGTGGCTCTGTCAACATGTGAAGCTGAGCATATCGCAGGTGTTGTAGCTGCTTGTCAAACCTTTTGGCTCCTGAATCTCTTGCATGATCTGAAGGTTGAAGTTGAGGAACCTCTGAAGCTGATGATTGATAATAAGTCTGCAATTGATCTGGTCAAGAATCCAGTGCTACATGGAAGAAGCAAGCACATTGAGACGAAGTATCATTTTCTCAGAAGTCAAGTACAGAAAGGAGTGTTAGAAGTTTTGCATTGTAGCACTCAGAAACAACTAGCAGATCATCTGACGAAGGCAATTAAAACAGATCAATTTTTTCGCTTGAGAGATGAAATTGGTGTTGTTAGCTTCTGATAGAATATCTAAATTAAGGGATGGTATTGAAAATATAATTTAGTTAATGTCTACAATTCCCAATGCTTATTCTTTAATAGGATCTTTTGGTATTTTCAATATTTAATATAAATATGTTATACTAGTCTATCAATATTGTATCCAATTTTATCTTCTCTATTTTGATATACAACAATAATCTTGTTATCATTCTTCTTCTCTCACTTCATTATCTTACACCAAAACCTTTGACATGGTTAACTTCGACGTTACAACATTTGAATGAATTTCATATATAAAAACAACAGGTGTGTTCTCTTAATTTATTCCAAAAACAAAACTACATTAATGGTTGAGAATCGGGTGAAATATATTAATGTCAATAATGTAACAAAAAAAGACATTTAAATTCCAAAAAAAAATCAAAATTAGATGTGATATTAGGACAGCTACCCAACAAATTTTAATTGCTAACCTCATCTTATAAAGCCCCTTCATATAATGAGCAATGAAGGTCTCCCTAGACCAAACTAACGCGTCTGACATTGCTTGGGATCCAAGTGGATCGAGTGAATGCTCATGGCCTAACGTGTCTGTACCCTACAGGTCAATTAGTAGAAACTTCAATTTCAAGTGGATAACAAGATAACTAAACAAACACACCTTTTATCCTAATTGCTTTAGTGTGTATGTAAGTTAGTGCACGAGATATTTTAGTGAAGAAAAAAAAAAAAGTAAATATAGATTATATTATTAATTTAAATTATTATAAATAATGATACAGATTTATTTTATTATAACTAATATTTCAATTATATATACATCATTCTACTCATCACAAAACACACTTCAATATTCCCTTCCTTTTAAACTCTTCTAGCAAAATTATCATTTTCATAACTTTTCAGCAGCTATATGGCACAGGTGCAGCCTCACAACTGTTGTAGAAGATGCTGTTGCTGCCTCTTCGGCATAATTTGGAAGCTTCTCTTAGCAATAATCATCCTCGTTGGTCTCATATTCCTCGTTTTCGGCCTCGTCGTCCAACCACGAGCCTTCAGATTCAGTGTCAATGAAGCAAAACTCACCCGATTCAACTACACCACCAGCACCAACACCCTCCATTACAACCTCGTACTCAACTTCACCGCACGTAACCCAAACAAAAAACTCAACTTTTACTACGATGAAGTTGAGGGACATGTGTCCTACCACGGAACAAGGTTTGCTTCAACCAACGTTATAACGTGGTTAAATTCGTTCCGTCAGTACACGAAAAGCACGAACCTTATGAGTGGTGTTTTCTCCGGGCAACGTGTTGTGGTTTTTGATTCTGATCAAGTATCTGATTTTGAACATGACAAAAAAGAAGGAGTTTTTCATATTGATGTGAAATTATACTTTACGATGAGGTTTAGGCTTGGTGATTTTATTTTTGGAGATAATAACAGTAACGTTAAATGTGGGATTGATGTTCCTTTTGGTTCTAATGGGACTAAGCTAATTAATGCATTTGAACCTACCACATGTGATGTTAATTTTTAAGGGTCATTGTGCCACGCGCATTACTTATTTCTTGTATTTGTTAGATGAACTTTCGTTGTTCTAAGCCATTCGTTTTTGTAATATTTTGGACGTCATGAAAATATGTCGACAGATTGTTTTATTCTTTATTTATGTATTGACATATTTTGGATTTTGTACATGTTTCATTTGAATGGTAAATTTAATTTTGAGTGTAATTATTATAAATTAAAATAAAAGTAATTTAAAAAGAGTAATTATGATTTAAAAATTAAAATTTTTATATATAATGTTTTGGACTTGACTAAAACTTAGACTGTGACCTGGCCACCTCAAGTCATTAGCAATTAGGCGGACGGGCGAATAGACATGCATAATGGATAAAGTTCGAATGATTAATGTTAATTATTAGATGAAAATGCTTAAATATGTCTTGATACATGTATAAGGAGACAACTATTTTTAGAAGCTTTTAAGATCTTAAAGTCCTAATCTCATTTTTATAAAGTGTAATTTATGATTCATGTACACACAATTATGATTTTAAATCTTACACTCATGATTTTCATTGATTTGATTGTCGAGTGTTTGTAGGTACACCACATTTCTGAGAGTTATAAGTCAATGTTAGTGAACCAATACATCATTACATTCAACAAATTTTAAGGTTTGATTGGATCATTAGCGTCTTCTCTGAAAAACGAATTTAATATTTCCATGATCATTTTTGTTTTGGATCTACCTATTGGAGAATTTACAATAATTTGACTTATGGTCAGTTGTTGGCTCCTGAATTTGACACCTACTATATATTGGTCTTATAGGCCAAAAATAGAACAAATAAAGCCAAGCTGAAAAATGTTTCGACGGATGGAAAAACTTAGAGAAAACATCTAAGTTACATATTGGTCTTCGACCAGGCATCATCATCAAGATTTCGACTGAGAAGGTCCTATGACCTTCGACTAGAAGAACATACCTTCGTGTCGACACCAAAGACGAAGGATATTTGAATTTGAATTGTTGGAGGGAAAGACGGTTTCGCCAGCAGTTAAAGGAAAGCGACGTGGCTGGAAGATAGAGGTTGAGGGACATGCAGATGACACTTGTCTTCATCTTAGAGCAAAGTCACCCCTCGACGGTTTTTAGTATAAAATAGGAAGTCTGTGTAGTTTTTTCGTGTGTTCAACCTATTGTGCTAGTTACTCAAATATTGTCCAAGTACCCGTTGTGTGTGAAAGGATAAACTGAGAAATGTACGTTGGAAACACCACTTTTCATTAATAAAGTCTTTTTGCATTGCTTTGATCTTATTTTGCAAAGTTACTTTTCCTGCATCTTTACCTGCATTTCTATTAACTTTCTTACTTTCCAAAACCACAAGCATCTTATGTTTGGTCGAACGTGCGTTCTTCCTAGATATCTATTTTTACATCAAACCAGTATAAAAGTTAGCATATGTTCTGGGATCAATCTGATCGATCCTGCGAGTAACCAAAAGGACTTTCCTTTTTGGAGGATCAGCAGTTGTTTACCAAAAACTACGGTAAACAAATTGGCATGCCCAGTGGGACGTTGCTAATTTTTATCACATATTTTGTTCATGTTATTGCTTTCCTTTTGTACATATACAACGTTACATGTTATTAAGAAGTGGTAGAATAACCAATGAGTGTACTGTTAGGAAGAAAAATAGCGAAAGTAGCATGGCTAACGAGCCAAATCATGGAGAAATACCTCCACCAAATACTACTGGAACAGCGGTTATTACCACCGTTGGAGAAAATATCTCAACTTCCGTTGGTTCAGTATCAACGTTGACCACAAATCAAACAGAACCCTTACTTTCATATGTAGGTCCCAGAGGTTCATTAGGAACACCCCCACCAAGGGCAAATCCAGGATCTCGACCGTACGTTCCCCCAGGATTTTCGACAGCCAGGATGGGTCGAGAACAGTCATATGGCATGCCAACCACTGAAATGGCTAGCCTTATGAATGCTGCTTCTACTTTTTCAGAACCTTTAGTGAGTGCATCATCGCCATTACAGGGATCTGGTGCCAGTATGGCAAATTTGGGTAGAAACCAATTTTTGGGAGGGCCATCACATATAATACCAACCCTCACAAATGCTTCCACAACAATTTTGAGGCAACAGATGGATGAAAGTAACCATGATATGGTGCAAATGTTGGCACAAACTCAAAGTACATTACTAAACCCCCTAATTCAAAATACTACCCAGTCGAACCAACAAATGACAACGCAAATGACGCACATGGCTGAATTCTTTGGGGTACCCCAAACTATTCGACAATCCCAAAGAATACCAATAAGAGTAAACCAAGGGGTAATCATGGAAGAGGATTTGACTGTTAATCAAAATCCTCAGATCCCTAGAGTAGAAATGGAACAACCTAGGGCCGAAATACCCCGAAATCCCCCACCAATCCCTAGAGAAATCGATCAAGGAGTGATTATGGTGAATAGGAACCAAAATGTTGATGAATTGTTACAGCAAGTTCGACACCAAAATTATGGAACAGACAATAATTTGACTGCCATGATCGAAAGGATTATGATTCAGAATGAGATGAACGTTGGTTTTCACATACCAAACTTCACATCCCCATTATCAGAATATATTCTGCAAACATACTTACCCCCTAGGGGAAAAGTTCCCAAGTTTACCAAATTCTCAGGGGATACGACAGAATCTACTATCGAACATGTGGCGAGATATTTGATAGAGGCTGGGGAAATAGCAAACAACGAAAACCTTAGGATCAAATATTTCCCAAGTTCTCTAACGAAGAATGCTTTTACTTGGTTCACTACCCTCCCAGCCAATTCGATCCACAATTGGAATTAATTGGAAAGATTGTTTCATGAACAATTTTACATGGGGCAGACCAAAATAAGTCTAAAAGAATTGGCTAGTGTGAAGAGAAGATTCACTTAGCCAATAGATGAGTATCTAAATAGGTTTCGATTACTTAAAGCCAGATGCTTTACCCAAGTGCCTGAACATGAATTGGTCGAAATGGCAGCAGGGGGCCTGGATTATTCAATTAGGAAAAATTTAGATACCCAATACTTGAGAGACATGGCCCAACTGGCCGATAGAGTTCGACAGGTAGAACGCCTTAAAGCCGAAAAAGCTAAAGCTACCAAAACTCATCGAAGAGAAAGGGTAGCCAATGTAGAAATGGATAATGACGATCCAGAGACATCTAGTGATCCTATAGATGTCGAAAAAGGCGAGATAGACTTAGCAGAATTAAAACAAGGACCACCATATTCTTGTAAATTGCTAGTGCCATCAAATGGGAAAAATCCTGTAGAGTCTGAAAGAAATAGCGACAAATTCCCTAAGAAAACATATAGTTTCGACATATCCAAATGTGATGAAATATTTGATTTATTAGTCAAAGATGGCCAAATGATAGTGCCCCCAGGGGTAAAGTTGCCTCCTTTAGAACAAAGAAAGAAAAGAGGTTTTTGTAAATACCACAATTTTCTGGGCCATAAAACCTCACAATGTTTTCTTTTCAGAGATCTTGTTCAACAAGCACTTAAAGAAGGAAGGCTAAAGTTCGCTGATAAGCCAACGATGAAAATTGACACAAACCCGCTGCAGATGGAGGCACATTATGCTGAACCAGTCGGCATTCACATGGTGGAAGTTTCTGAATACTTTGCTACCAAGCCCATCTTTGGCAGTTTTACTGGAAACATATCCAGGAAAACTATCGAATGAGTGAGGAAGGCCACTGAAGGCCTAAACCTGAACAAAGGAGCTGCCCAAGGCTCAAACAAAAAGGCCATTGAAGGCCTGAAACTGAATAAAGGAGTTATTGAAGGCTCGAGCAAAAGGGTTACTGAAGACCCACATAAAAACAAAGGAGTTGTTGAAAGCTCCAACAGAAAAACCACCACAGGTTCTTACTTGGATGCCGTGAAAGGTTCGACTGAGAACTTGGAGGCCAAAATTCAGAAAATGAATCTCGTTGCCAAGAGCAACATGGAGGTCAACATGGTCGAAGTCTCTGATGCCAAGGCTTCAGAAGAGGCTATTCGACATGAGCAAGTGAATAAAACGGCATTTCCAAAAGAGAACAAAGATCTGGCAGACTTTTACACTGATGCCAGAAGAAAAAATCGGAAGTGATGTTGTGTCCCAGATGCATCTCTATTTTTGACAAGAAAGTCACAAAACACATACAAGGTATGAGAGTTGTGAAAGCAAAATGGGGCACCAATGCCCAACCAAAAATGGGTCCAGAAGTCAGATTCGATCCCAGGAGGGGACATAAAAAAGGATCCATGAATCAGGTAAAGAGGTCACCAACTTTTCGGCCTCCAACTAATGTACCTATAGATGCTTGGCTTAACACCATGGGCAGAAAGAGGCCCAATGAAGAAAAGTGGCAGACGTTCGACGTGCCAAGGGGCTCCTCTTTGGACTACAGAAAAGAGTACCATGCCTCTACATCAAATAAAATGGCTCATATATCGAGCAATTACAAGGGGAAGAACCCCATGTCTCGTTCACAATGGAGAAGATTCCAAAGACGGTGAAAAGCCGAAAAAGAGGCAGCAGCAGAGCCTCACCCAGAGGCTAGCACCAATGTGCAAAGAAAGCAAAGGAAGCCTCTAGAGAGGAAACCTATGGTGTGGCCAGAAGAATGTGGGTTGAATGACGAGGGTGACTCCGACTCTGACGATACTTTAGACATCATGGTGAACGTCATATCGATGCTGCCTAGAGAATACAACCGTCGGGTCGAAGTTGAGGAAATCGACTTGATGGCCGAACAAGAAATGGCCAGACATAGGCCAATGCGTTACTATGTAATGAATAATGGCTACATGGAAGAGCATAATGCTTTCTTTGAGCCACCAACTGAGGCGATGAAAAATCACCTCAAGCCCCTATTCATCAGAGCGAAGATAGGGGAAGTGACTATAAACAAAATCATGGTTGATTGTGGGGCGACCATAAACATAATTCCACAAT